ACACTGCCTAAATAACTGTTAAACCCTAAAACATTTAAATTCTTTCGTAGGCTAATAAGTTAATTCAAGTAAATTCGTTTTTTGCATAGATCCTACGCTTTTCTGTTACACTGCAGTGTCATATTTACCACTAAAACTAAAAACCATTTGAAAGGAAGCAGATTTTTTAGGACACTATGTATCTATGTAGCCCTACTATGTACATGGGAAGAACAATGGATAAGATTTCACGTGAAGTTAAAAAAGATATTATTTTTAAGATCAGTTATTCCATTTTTTACGCATTAAAGCACCTCCGCAGACGAATATCACGGGTGAGGTGCCACTACCTGGGTATCTTGATGAACCTTTATCTTAAGGAATTAAGTAATCTATTAAAGTTTTTGCCAATTTAAAAGTGAGCTACTCCATTCAGAGGGCCAAATACATAAAATAGAATGTATAATATAAATACAAGATTATCTGCAACTAGTTTATTTGAACAGGCACTATTGAAACATGTCTCCTTTGAAATTTGCATTCTTTGGTCTTTCCGTTGAAAAAAGTCTAATCTAATCAATTAAAAAGTTGTTAAAGCGTGAACTCGGCGCAAAATGTCAAAACCTTGATGGGTTTAATGGGGGGGGGGGACTAATGATTATGAGTCCTTTACGTAGGCTGGTACAATTAAAGAACCACCAGGTGATAACGTCTCAGTGAACCCCCGGGAAGTAGAGAAATTACCTATTTTCCAGCCTGAGGTAAATACACCAACAATGTGTACGTTGCGTGACCTTTGCTAATATCGGAAACTTCCTTATCACTACTAAAAACCTCCTCAGAGTGACCTTTCAAGTCATAAAACCATAGATTAAAATCCTTTTATCTATGATAAATAAAATGTAAGTGCAATTAATGACACACACTAACTCCAAAAACTCTTTCTGCGTGGAGTATACGACCCGATGATCAGGATAAATAATTATGAACATTTTATTTTGTGTGAGGTAAATCTAAATTAAAAGTAGAAATTTGTTAGAGGATATTTATTGTTTGTAAAGAAAATATTTCTGTTAGCAATCATAGAAGAGAATGTGCTCGTACACTAGGATGTTTAATCTTAAACATTGATGAGTTAGTCTTACTTCCACTTCATGCATGTGTTGAACTGTCGGTTCAGTGACTGATTTTTGACTACTTACTACTTCTTTGCAGTTTCCGTGATCATAACATAGACATCCCGGCGACGTCATGATGGTGATTTGAAGGTAGCGTGTAGAACTTTGTCTTGTCAACATTTCCTTATCTGAGACACTAATGCTACCATTTCACTGAGTCATTCTGGCCTATCTTAACGGGTTCTATGTCGTATTTATAGTATTTGTCACTATTATCTAGATAATTCAATGAAAAGTTTAAGTAAAATTATTAATCTATTTGCATTAGGCTTTAAGGTAAATGGTGTTTCAATACGTGAGAAATACACGGACTGTTAAGTAGCCCCATTATAAAGGTTAAGTTGTCAGCTATGTTTCTTGATGAGAGAATGTAAATAGACCGCAATGCTATCCCAATTTTTTTTAAACAGACACAATATATTTCCAGACATACTTTAAATAGTTATTCATGTTTTCAACTTGATCGATGTTACATGATAGTGGCCTTTAGAAAAAGTCCAGTAAACAGATCGTTATGGAATATTTTTAGAATGTTGGCTGATTATTGTCATTATGTGTATTGTGTATCTTTAGTATAGTTTATTAAATAAATTTAAAATCTTAAATATATGTAAACATTTTTTTATAAAGATTCTTGATTTATTTAAAAAGAAATGTGTTTATAAAGAAAGGTCTTAAGCTGAGTTTGGTAGTTTTTCAAACTTCCTCGAAGGTAATAAGAAAGGAGAAAACTTGAATAAGATTAAAGTCTTTCAAGGCAAGTTCATTAACTTGATGCTTATACATACAGGTCGTCGATTTTAAACGGGTCAGTGTTTTTACTATTGTATATCTCTTTCAAACATAAATGAATTTATCTTACAAGGCTGGTCAAGAAAATGATTTTACCTCCACAATCAAAACATTTTGTCGAAATAATGTATTTGATTTACAACCATGTAAGTGAATTATGATTTATGATTGTGATTTGTGTTTCGTTTCAGAAACGAATGATTTAGAATAGATGTAACGTCGTTTAAAAGATGAATTTCAAATTTGATAATACGCTGTTTAAAAGCTTCTCTGTTTTTTTATAGTTTGCTTTTTGTCAGGTATTTGAACTAATAAAACTCTCTAGCGTATTTTAAAACTTAATAAAAATAACAAATAAATACAAACTGTAAACATTATAGTGTCTTATGACAGTAGCATAGTAACTACGACCATTGACTTTATATCTACACAGATAGATATAAAATGTAGATAAATATAACAGATATCTACAGTTATTGACTAAGGAAACGTCTGTGCTACAGTGTAGATATAAAGTCAATGCTACGACGGCACCACCTGGCAATATAGAGTCAAACCTGTACGGAGGGTATTGCATCTAGAGAACACCACGGCGTTGGCACGGCTAACCGTTTTAAACACAGTTTCTTACCGTTTTAAACGGCTACATTCTGTAGTTTAGGGTTTTAACTAATAATTTATAAAATATTTTAACACGTTAAATTGCTGTTTTTTTTTTTACTTTAATAAGAATTGGTAAGGTTTGAAAGAATATATTTTGTATGAATTTAATGGAATTAAATATTATATTATAAAGTATTTTTATTTTCCAATTACATTTTAAATGGAAATATATTCCTCCATATAAATATAAAGTACATATCACCAAACCCGTGTAAAATTACAATTTTCATTCCATGCACGAAAGCCACTTTACCCTCACACAAAGTGGTTGACGCAATTGTCCAGTTCAAATTTACAAATCCACTTTGAACCTTTGTATCCAAATGACGTTTCTGCTCAAGCAGACTTTATTTACCAACAAGTATTTGCTTTTACCGTTTAAATTATGTAAAATGGCTCAGAGATGGATTTAACTTGTTTTATTGACATACATCGATGCAAACACTTTTTTGTTTTATTTAGACGTAAGAGCAATCTTCTTTGTCACTTTTTGGCATCGTATGTAGTGGCAGAATTTTCCTTAAAAATAATATTAACAACTAAAGATGGATATATATTTTCCCCTTAGTAAACCAGTTGTAAAATATTTGCACCTAATAATAAAATTAAAGTTATAAATTATTTTACACACAATTTTACTAAAACTATTCAAACAGTCTTATGCTAGTACTTCACAGCTAATAAAAGATCAATAAAACATTAAACTACCTCCTACGTAGAGAAATATAGAGCTGAGAGAATTATACGCCTCTCTTGTCTACTCGGGGGAGTGTATTAGTGTTAATTGGAAGATATTAACACTTACGTTGCTCCATCTCACCGTGACTTAACTTTCTTCTAAAAAAAAAAATTCAAACCATTTTTACAGAATTAAAACTAAAGGAAATCTGTTTAATTTAGGCTATTTTCAATAGCACGCAATTTTATATCTTTAACTTAAAAACGTGTTTGTTTTCTATAGTTGTATTATAATTTCATTTGATCAACAGTACATAGTTTTAAACCGTAAAAGAATAAAACTAAAGTTAAGTTTTCTTGAAAATACCCTTTTCTTCTGACTAAATGTTTTCAACCATTTTTAGCATTTTAGTTTAACTTTCTTAACATTGAATGCGATCTACAATTAAATTCAATAATTCTCGTTTAGTTTATAATTTGTTATTTGTATAACAATATCTTATCCCTTTTGTGAGTTTCTTTTCTTATTATGGTTCTATTTAACATTAGTGTTTTTGACAGTCTCTACAACTGTAACAATTCCTTTTAGTCGTGGATCTCTACTCGTACTTCCTCTTTATGATTACCACTGTTTACCTTCCTATACATTAGTATTTCTTCACATTGGGGATTTTTGGAAGTGTTGTAAATATCCTTCTTATATTATTACGAAATAAGAAGATTGTTTTGATAGTGCATAACACTCGATGGCTAAATGAATCCCGTATAATACATGTTAGTCTTCCCTGTACACTTATAAGAATCTTAACTACTTAGTTATTATCCGTCACCCTGTACCATACCTTCTTTTCTTCTAATATCACTGGCTGGGTAGCTGAGTAACTGAGTGCTCGCATAGCAATCAAAAGATCGATGGTTCAATTCTGAGAAAAGTTAGAAGCATTTTGATGGTTCGAAACTGGAGCCTACTATCCCTAATCGCTGGTGTTTCAATAAAATGATCCTACAGCTCCTACAGCTGATAGTCAGTAACAAAGCTACACAGATCATATCACACTAAGCCAAGCTACTCTCATCTTTCACTCACATTTTGGTTAAAATGCCAACCTAGTAGGCGTCCCCATCTCAATTAATAAATAACTGATAATTGAACTATTATCTCAATACTTTTTCAATCTTCATAAGAAAAAAATATATTGCACAAGTAGGTAATCTCAAGATCATTTTACATCATAGCGTTGTTAGTAGCGTTTGTAAGCGTCATAAATGTGGCTGAAGAACGAATTCGGTCTATTATACCATTAATTACCTAGTGTAGATTCAACTGTGGTTTTAAATATTTCCGAAACTAAACATTTGCAGCGTATTTCAAGAGTACCTATGAAAGTAATTTTGAAATTAAATTGAGTTTTCAATAAGAAATCAATACACCTTTCTTTGAGGAATGACAAAATTAATGAACCTGCCCTGAAAGATTTTCATCTTATTTAAAGTTTGATCTCCTCAAACTCATTACTTTCCAAACTGACTGAAAAGCCGGAAAATAGATCAGGTTTCCTTGGAAAAATGTCTTTTAATGATTAAGTATAAAGTTTTAGTTGTTAAAACATCCTCAGCATTCAGAGGCTTTACTAATTAAGCTGTAAAAAGCTTACTAAATCAATAAGATAGTGATCACCTTTTAAACAGACACATTTCCTAACTTAAATTTTAAAATATTATCACGATATACCCGAATATAACTGCAACTAAGCTATACATCTTGCTCAATCCAATCCCGGATGTATTACATTGAAACTCGTATTTAAACCTGTCCGGCCTCATGGTCTGTAGTATCCAGCTGCGATGAGGTGCGACCAAACTGAACACACTAGTCGTACTATAGTCACGACAAGGATTACCACGGACCGGCTCGTACAACCACTTCTTGTTGGTGTCAGTGACGATTACATGAGCGACTCCCACCAACTTTCCCTCACAGATTAACCCAGCTCCCGTACTAGCTGCACACTCTGGGTAAGTTCTAATGGTTCTGTAAGTGCACCCGTACAGATCCTTCTGTCTCTGCCACGTCCAATAGTCAAAACTCCAACCAACCCTTCTGAAGCACGGCACGTACACCAACACCTTATCTTTAATCCTTCGAACTTCAGAGTTAGTAGAATTCAACACACCGAACCCGGTGACGTCACATGAGTACGTTGCGAAGCTCTCTGTGTGGACTTGTTCATCTATTCGAGGAACTACTCTGACGTAATCGTTCTGTTTAAACATCCCCTGAGTCTTGAGCAATGCGAGGTCATACTTGGTGTTGATGAACGAGTGGTAGCTGCGGTGTAGCTGGGAGTTGGGGAGGTACGTTTTCGTAGCGTACTCCTGGTACGCCTCACCTCCAGCGTAGACGTGGAACCTGCGTAGTCTGATGGCGTTGTGGTAGAGACATGAGCGAGCTGTGAGGACCCACTGGGGCGCGACGAGAGTTCCGGAACAGAAGTTGACGTCCTCCGTGTCTTGTTGACCGATGACGAGGACAGCGCTGGGTGATGCCTGTGGTGAGGAGTGAACCGTCTGGGAGTAAACTGATGGAATACGAAGAAAGATTGTAGAAACTGTGAGGTGTAAAGTAAAAAGTAGCATCATCTTGTAAGGCATCATAGTTTATTTAAGTTTAATTTGTATTCCACGCGAAACAGTATTATTGTTTTCACGCCTTTTTGGGATAACTACAGCTGTTTATAAAATTAAATCGCCAATAAATTTATTTGTAAGGTTACGCTAGGTACGGTCTTGAGATTTCAAAACAGTTTAATTAAGTCATTGGTTTCGGTTGATATTTCTTGTTTGTACATACGTAACTGTACGCCTCCATTATGATTCGAAATCATGATGTTAAGAGTTTATATGCAATTTACGTCGACTAACTAAAAGTGTTGTTGACAATGTAAAGTCAAAGCGAAACAATTTTAAAGAGGTGTTCATAAACATATAAAAAGAACCTAGATAACAGACCTATCAACGGGTATTCTGATGAAAAAAATCAGGGAACTATGCGATTTTCAACAGTTAAAATCAATTCATCATGAATACTAATATAGAATAGTGTCGTAGATGTGTATATACTAGCTTCGTTACATTTCCAATACCATACAGGGGAGCGAGCTGGTCCAGTAGTTAGAGCGCGGGACTTCGGTTCCAGAGGTCCCGGGTTCCAATTCCGCCAAATCACCAATGGATTTTATCTATGTGATATGCCTCAACCCCTAGGTCTAGCCAGAAGTAATGTGAAAAACAATTAAGGGCTCGTGCCTAGCGTCCTAGGACAAACAAACTACACAAAATACGTTGACGTGAGACAGGCTGCAGTGACATAGTGGAAGGACAGCATTAGTGTCTCAGATAAGGCAATGTTGACAAGACCAAGTCCTACACGCTACCTTCAAATCACCATCATGATGTCGCCGGGATGTCTATGATGATCACGGAAAATGCAGGGACGTTGTAGTCTTAAAAGCATTGCATACATACAAAAAACTAGTTATTGGTATGAGAAAACCAAATAAACAAGTACTCTCGTCCAAACACTGTCAGTCAGTTTCTGAATAGTGAAAAATAAATACGGAATTAGTAACTACTCAGAATATATACGTTATAGATATAAAAAAGTATCAATAGAGGGTTGAAAATGTTTGTGATATTTCAATCATGTTTTATTACACATTAATGATCATAATAATTCACACTCCAATATTTAACCGTAATAAACTGAACAATTATACAATTCGTCATTTTTACACATCACTTCATTTTTTTATCCTACATCAGTGATGGTTTCTTAAACCTACCTTCGTATTCAATTAAAAGGATTAATATAATCCATCATGTCAGTGTGTTCAAGAAGAAATATGAGAATGTGTCAGCTATTTCTGCCAGTAAAATGTATATGAATTCTAAAATATTCCACAATTCAAGCTTTAATTCCTGTTTTCTATCTGCTAACCATTTTTAGAAAAACATTTTAAACAAGCAGGCTATATTAAGTTGATCATGATGACCGAAAGTCTGCCACGCTGAAGGCTTTTGTTTAAGTTAGGACTGGTCGTCAAAAGACAGTTAAGTTTTATGACTTGAAAGGTCACTCTGAGGAGGTTTAGAGTAGTGATAAGGAAGCCGCTGATATTAGCAAAGGCCACGCAACGTACACATTGTCGGTGTATTTACCTCTGGCTCGAAAATAGGGCATTTGTCTGGTTCCCTATGGATCCCTGGAACGTAAGTAAACTTTTCTGGTTTACAAGTATAAAATGCCTACTATAGATTGATACCATGTGTCCAATACTGATTTTCATTCTCATTTTACAACACTATTAACTTGACTCTTTTAACGTTATATTATAATATTGTTGTTGTTCGTATTGGGTATAATATCAACGATAATGTTGTTTACATGCATAAAACAATATTTTGTATTGGAATTTACATTTTGAAAATTTTTATTTTGTTTTGTTTTAATAAAATAATATATTCAAATGTACCAACATGGCTTAAACTAAAAGGCTGACAAAAACTAGTTCATCTACAATGCTATATTGTAAATGAATAATTCTGTAAACCAATTGGAATATAGGGTGTACACAAATAACTTAATGAACTCATTTTATTGGAAAATGTAAACACAAAACAAAACTGTAAAATCAAAACATAAACAATCATAATAAAATAATTATCAGCTCATCAGTATTTTCATCTCTAATTTCCTTTAACTGAAAATAGCTTTTAAGACTCATCAAGACATTTTTAAATGTTTCATTCTCTGTGTAGGGTGTAAAGTTTATGTTAGGTACATGACTATAATATTGTGTTCAACTGACATAGAAGTTTCGTGTTAATCTACAATTTCGCTTTGTGTAAAAAATGGCTGTAATAATGCTCTTATCTCCAAATAAACATCTTCTACCCAGCTCTGTAGTCTTCTTCTTGTTCAAAATAATGTTCATCTACAATCTTCAAAATATCTTTGTAGTTTTGTAGTTATATGAATTTATGCCATGCTTCCTCTGTAACAGTTCTGCCAGGAGCATCATAGACTGATGAACCCCTGCTTCTTAAATTTGTGGAGTTCTTGTAATTTGTCCTTTAGTGCTCCCCTTTGATGTTTTAGTCTTCTGATATCATTTCTTCCATCACTCATCGCCATTTGTTGTGTTTTTATAAAATAATATATTCAAATAACTTAATGAACTCGTTTGATTTAAAAATGTAAACACAAACAAAACTGTAAAATCAAAACATAAACAATCTTCATAAATCAATGATCAGCTGATCAGCTGGTATAGCATAGGGGGCATACTATTAAAACAATCAAATATACGTTCATATCGTTCCCTATTTAAAGTGGAAAATAGAGTGCAAATTTATATTAATCACGGGTGGGAGATTCATAAATGAGAGCTCAACGTTCCGGAAATGTGTTTTACTCTTTTTTTGTACAACTCCTTTTGTTAAAATAAGCCATTCGACATGTTCTACTGAAGATTCTTCAAAATATTTAAAATAAATACCAATCCGCATAATTAAAAGTAAAATTATTTTACTTTTTTATTTAAACTTAATGGATCTGTCCATTACTACCTGGATATTGAAGCGATTGGATATGCGATTTCAACCGCCTTATTTTGATTACTAAGCCAACGATTTCTTATTAAAATGCTGGTGTTTAATTGAAGTTATACAATTTTTTAAATAAATATTACAAATATTTATTTTTTTACAGCTATATCAGAGTAATTTTGAAGATAATAAGACCTATTTAAATCCATCAAGTTCTCTTGGCGGTTGTTTTCTCAGCAATTGTAGTTTACGGGTTTTTTGTAATTATTTGAATATCTTCAAGCAAAATAGATTTTTATCGTTTGTTAAGTAAATAAAACATATATTATAAAACATATATATTATAATATAAGGAATAATCAAGAACAAAGATAAGCTTCAACTTTTTCTAAAGTTTGAAATGTAAAAAATACTTTATGGTTTGATTTTTACGAAATAGGGCTCTTTTAACTTTAGGATTCTCAGTTGTATTTAGTTTAGTGCCCTAAAATTACTTTATTACTTACTAAATTGAAATAAAATTGTTGTGTGGTTAAATATTTTACGAAGATTCATTATTCATAATTATTCTATAACATTTTATTTTTTTTTATTATTTCATACATGTTTTTAGTTAATATATTTTTTATTATTTCATACATGTTTTAGTACATATTTTGAGTACCTACAGTTTGTTTCACTGAATGGTCCTAAGTTACTTCTGCAAGCTAATTCAGTTTTGTACAGAGCCTGGAGCCTGAGACAATCTGTATTTAATGTTTATGACGTTGACAGTTACAATAAACACAACAATAATCTCTAACTAAATAACAGATTGTCAACTTCACATCAACCTGATTCAGAGTAATATTGAATCTAATAAAGCAATAAAATTATTAGCTGTTATTAGGGTCATTTTTTGAAGGTATGTCATGGATTCTTTCACGTCTAATCACGTCATAATGATTCACGTCGTCATTTTTTAAGTTTTTATATTTATCGCCATTGTTATTTCCTAAGGGACATAGTCAATCACTGTATTAGTAAAAAAAAGAAAAAGAAAATAAAAAAAACCCTGGACAAGCATGTACTGTACTACAGAGGAAGTGGCATTTTTCATTAAAGAAATATTAATAAGATTGATTAAGGAGTTTCCAGACATTAATTGTATGATTCAACTTTATGTTTTCAGACTTTCCAGATGTTAAAGCTAAGTTTAAGAAATTCATTTCATTCATACGATTCTCTACTAAAAATAATAAGATCTTTTCTAACCACAGATTATCAATTACATAGGCTTATCACCCAGAAATAGATTTAAATTCCAAAGTACTAGTATGGCTATTTAACATATGGTACACGTTTCACATGTTCATTGTTTCACTTAACTGTTTGTAGCTTATTAATAGAGGACAATGAGTTTCAATATACAGTTCACTAAACTTCCTTCGGCATCATATAGTACGATTCAGTAACAAAGGACCTCGGCCTTGTTTCGGGTGGATATTGCAGTAAACCCCTCTTGGGGCCATCTTGGTTGGTCCAACATCTAGAGAGTTAAATAAGAAAAGAATAATCTAAGAGGCTGAATTTTTAAGAGATTTAATAAATGTATAGTTTATACATTTATAACTTATTTATAATAACTTATTTATTTATAACTCATTTATAACTTATATATTATAAATTATACATAGGCCTATATAACATTTATAACATATAACTTACCACACAGCAAATAATATTTACTTGGAATATTTTTTTATTTTCCTATACATATTACAAAGAGAAGAAATTGCTTTTGTAAACATTTTCGAGTTTTAGTTTTAGGATGAAACGTAAGTTTTTTTTCATATTCTTTGTTTTTAGTCTTTTATTTGGGTTGTATTGGTATAGACACGGATTTTTTGCTTTTATATTGCTTAAAAATAGTCATAGGAACTACATACTATGCTAACAGCCCTAAAACTTTATAAATTTATAATATTTAGTGGGTTGAGGTATAAATAATATAGTTAAAATAATATATTTTTAAATAATTTCGTTTAGAACCTTGATGTTAATAT